TGAATTTAAACAAACAAATTAAGTTGAACATTACTAAACTTAATTTGTTTGTTTAAATTCAACACAAATAAATTGTTTGCAACAGTTCTGCATGCAACACTTTTTTTTCAGTGTGGCTGCATACCTCAGTGCACTGATTTGCTTTCATTCTTTCCGTTGATGCTAAAGTTTGTGCATTTCGGAATGCATCTTGGAAACTTATCGGCGCAATCTTGTGCAACTAGCCCATTGCTTTGTGTTATGGACAACATGAAGGAATTGTTTGGAACCCAGCATAATAGCTGCAGATGTTGTAATAGTGGATGCTGCACACAGAAGGTGGATGAGAAGATTCCCCCCAAAAATGTGTAAATACACATGAATCCCCTATGTTCCCTACGATTTATACATGTAAATCTTGTGCAATATTTGTCATTGTATGTGCAATAGGGCAATACCATCTCATGAGGAAACTGAACTAATTCACCTTTTGTGAGTTTAGTGAGTTCAGTCATATGAAACGTACATTTTTTTTAAAAGGAGGCGTAGTACCCAACTGCGTGTCCTGGGTCTTCCCCGAGGCTTCCACCCAGTGGGACATGCCTAGAACACCTCCCTAGGTAGGCGTTCAGGGAGCACCTGAAACAAATGCCCGATCCACCCCAGCTGACTTCTCTCGATGTGGAGAAGCATCGGGTCTACTCCCTGCTCTTCCCGGGCGACAGAGCTCCTCTCCCTATTTATATGTGTGCACCCTGTCACCCTGCGAAGGAAACTAATCTCAGCTACTTGTATCTGTGATCTTGTCCTTTCTCTTATGACCCAAAGCTTATGACCGTAGGTGAGAGCAGCAACGTAGATTGACTGGTAAATCGAGAGCTTTGCCTTTCGGCTCAGCTCCTTCTTCAGCACAATGGACTGATACATCAACCGCATTACTGCTGCCGCTGCACCGATCCTGTCAAACTCACGTTCCATCCTTCCCTTACTCGTGAACAAAACCCCAAGATACTTAAATTCCTCCACCTGGGGTAAAGACTTTCCTTTAACCTAGAGAGGAATTAAGAGTTTGAGTACCTGAGTGATCTTAAGACTGATGCCCCTGGCAGGGTCTCCCAAAGCAAAAAGGACTTAGGTGACAGGTCAGACTAAGTGCGGTTCAAAAACCCCTTAAGAGCGCAATAACAGCGAGGACCATGACATGGCCTGGTATGGGGCGGTCAAGGCCCCACCTTGGACCCAGGCTTGGGGTTGGAGCAAGTGCAAACGCCTGGCGGGTTTTATCCCACGGAACTCAGCCGGGTTCAGCCCAAACGAGTGACGTTAGACCATCCTCCTGCAGACCCACCACCTGCAGGGGGAGACATAAGGGGCTGGTGCATTGTGGGACAGGTTAGGACCCCAACAACTCTATTGTCGGGCAAGGAAACTGGCTCTTGGGACATGGAATGCCACTTTACTGGGAGGAAAGGAGCCCAAGCTTGTGCAGATGGTGGAACGCTACCGACTAGAGATAGTTGGGCTCACCTCCACACACAGCTCTGGAACTCAACTTCTTGAGAAGGTTGTGTTGGCAATAGACATAAATCTGGTGCAATATCTGCCCTTATCGTGTGCAATACAGGCAAAACTCTTAAATCTTCTGCAATGTCTGTCATTTTATCTGCAATATGGCCAATATGTGTAACTCTTGTACAATGTTGGTCATTCTATGCTCATCACATAAGTCTATAAAGTGTGTAAAGTGTAATTTTACATCTTGTGTAATATGTGTGCTGTAAAGCACCTAATTTGATTACAACGACTTTTTGGTTCTTTGAGGAACCAAGCATGGTTCCTGAATGGCATCCCTGTAAAAACACTCTTTCGGAATCCTTATTTTTAAAAGTGCATGTAAAGCATACAAACATTTGCTTAAATTTGCTCAATATTGTAAATGTTCTTTATAGTCAGCAGAATGAGTGTTGCAGACTAATTAGATGACAGCTAGTTGACACATAGCTCCTTATGGTCAACACATTTATTAAAGATTAGCAGGAGTTAGCGGAGTTTAATCATTCTGATGATATTTCCTCAATATTAACCCCTCATCCTTATGCTATTAACAGATCAGAGCCTCCTGCTTAGATATGAGTAACAGTACAAGTAATGGGAGATGTTCACAATCACACTTCGCAGGTTGTCAAAGCGCACATAAGCAAACAGAAGCTGACTGATGGTGGTAATTAAATCAAGCATATGGCAGTCAGCTCAAACGCAGCTGTGTATGAGTGTGTGTGTTCATCTGAGTGTGTGAGATCTCTGGACACTGCGATTCGCATGTTCATAGAAAGGTGTGGACTGAGTGTCAACAACATAAAAAACGATGTGTGTGAAAGTGACACAATGTCTGAAACTGGAGTAAATCTCTCTCAAGGTTAAAACTCATCCACTTGTAATATAAATTCATTTATTTATTTACCTTTTCCGCTTAGTCCCTTTATTAATCAGGGGTCACCACAGCGGAATGAACCGCCAACTTATCTAGCACATGTTTTATGCAGCGGATGCCTTTCCAGCCGCAACCCAACACCGGGAAATGTAATATAAACATGAGTAGAAAAATAAGAGATCTATGAACTATGAGAAAAATATTGCAGTTTCATTCTGGGGTTCATTGGCCGTTGGTTTAAGCATGAGATTAACACTGTGACGTATTTCCGTACACAAGCTAATTATTGAAGGATTATCGAAGCGCAGCTCAGTTCAGGTTTCATCATTAGACAATATTAGTGATCATCCCAGTCCCAAAGAACACAGGGTTTGGATAACAAAAGGTAAATATCACAGCAGGCCTTCCCTCGGCCATTATAAGAGCGTATAAAAGTCGCCCTGCCTAAACGAAGTTAACGCGCCCTCATAAAAAGTAATCCTCCAATAAAGATAAACCTTGAATCAATACACTGTGCGGCGCTTGAGCTTCACAAATCACACTTCAGAGATGGTCAGCTTACTTACTCTGGGAGGCAAAACAGCAGGCAGTTTCTGTCTGGTGGAATGGTTTGTAAATAGCGTTATTTTACACTGAACAGCAAGGATACCTTCATACTTTGTTTTTTTTTTTTAGTTTACACAATCATGTTACTGATTTGAGCTAAATGTTTGAAGTGTTTATTGGTAGTTTTTGAAGTGCTGTTGCAGTTTTTATTATTGTTGTGAGGTGACAGTGCTTACCACTGAGCCGCCGTGCCACCCTTTTCATACAGTAGGTTAAACTAAATAAAAACATTTCCCTGCATAGCAACAAGCTACCCGAAAAAAAGCATACGCGATCATATATATTTTAAAACTTTTTCAAATAATTCCTAAGAGATGTTTAAGAGGGCAAGGGCATTTTTGGAGTATTTCCTATAAAGATTATTCTTATGGTCAATATTAATGGATATAGAAATACTGGGAAATCTCTGTAGATTGATGGCATTTCATGCCGTTCAGCCTTATAATCTTAAAAAGTGAGCAAAATCACCTGTTTTGTCATCACTTTAGACATTACGCTGGAGAATCATTCAAATACTAACTCTTAAATGACGTTTGTGAATGAGCAATGGTTCCTGCTGTTCTGACTGTCAGCTGCAGATGTGAATGAATGGTGGACAAAAGTAGTTCCTCATACAAAAAGATTTTGAGACAATCCGACTTAGTTTGTTTTTTATTTAGTTTTTTTTTATATACACAATTATGCCGTAGAACTGTTGTATAAACGCAACATCACAATCAAAGCAGTGCAATATGACTGCGTATTGTCACTGGTGGGACACTAAGGCACTCTGCCTGCAGTCTCGAGCCAATGCAAGATTCCATAATCCACTATTGGCAATATACAGCCATATCGCACTGCTAAGAGTGTGATATTGCTTAAATTTACATATATTTGTTAAGCTTAATTAAAATAAAGATAATGTTTTTTGTTTGATAGTTTAAGATCTTGTTAACTAATAATATAATAACCCTGACTATGTGTTAAATAATAATGCAAACAAAATTAGTGATGTGCCTATATGAGATTTTAGATTTCAGTGATTTTTTTAAGTACTTCAATTATTTTTAATACTATCTATCAGTATCAATTCAAAGGTCATTTATAGTGACTTTTTTTAATCACAAATGCATTTCAACTGGTCTCTCTTTCATATGTCGCTCTGCTTTCATTTCCCACTAAAATATAAAACAGCTCAACTGTCACTAATATTTGACAGTAATATGAAAAATCCCTTCTCCATCAATGATTTGATGATCACTGATGTTGAAAAAAAATCTGCTTCACATCACCGGAATAAATGATGAACAAATAGCTAAGATCTACTTTTATTTCCTAATATAAACATTTTTAAACAAAAACTGTTCTACATTTCAAAATCACACATTTTAGCCAATCAGCTTTTTACAAATTAAGCAAAAATTATGCAAAAATCACTTTTTTAAGGGATTTAACAACCAGCCTCTATAAAAAAATTGAGGTATTTTTTAACCATTCACACTTGACAAAAACAGACTACCTAAACACTTTGATTGACATTCTCCACATGTACATGTCATGGGAGGGGGAAGACCTGCCCATTAGTGATGATCTATCCCTCATTAGCATAATCAGCTCTGAGTGAGAAGCAGCCGTCCACCATTAAATTTGTAACATCAGTGACTAATACTGTATTCTCCATAATCTGCCTTCTTCTATGCTGATAAATAGGCATTTGTGGCTCCACCCTCTTTTAAAAAGAGCACAATCTTATTTGAATTTAAAGCGACAGTCACCAAAACTGCAAAATTTGGATCAAAAGGGGCAGTTTCAAATTGTTATTTGTGGGGTGTTTTGAGCTTTGAACTTAACATACACACTCTAGAGACATCAGAGACTTTTTAATCATCTTATAGCTCCCCTTTAAAGTCTTTTGGATGCAGGAATATGGAGATATACATTAATCTGAGAGCTGTATTAATCTGAGAAAGTTGAAGTGTGACTGTTTTGTGTTTTTAACGCTGACCTGGATATCTTATCTGTGCAGGACATGGTGATGAGCCGTTCTCCTTGAAGGACACCGTCCCACGTCTGGACAGGAGCGGTGGACCTGACGGGCAGCGTTCCTTCCCCGGATTCAATCTTCGTCCTCAGGTGACTGTGAAACTTCTTCACCAAGTGTCTGTTACTGTGCACTGTGGAGAAAAAAAAAGTTTGTTTTTGGTTTATTTATTGAAATAATACACTATAATCTTTAAATGTAGAGTAATGCAATTAAATTCAACTTGAAAAAAACAAAACATGACTGTCAACAAGAAGGTTAATTGTCTTAAAATATCAGATAATTGAGTCTTTTTTATGATGAGGCATTGCTAATGTGGAGGGACTCTTCATGGTGTGAGTATTTATAAAATAATTTGTAAAAAAAAAGTTTAGCTATTTTTTCCTATTTTAAAATGTTTAAGGGGATGGCACAGTGGTTGGGCCAGTTGGCATGTCTGTGTAGAGTTTGCATGTTCTGTGTTGGCGTGGGTTTCCTCCGGGTGCTCCAGTTTCCCCCTCAGACCAAAGACATGCGCTATAAGTGAATTGGATTAACTGAATTGGCCGTAGTGTACAAGTGTGTGTGAGAAAGAGTGTGTATGGATGTTTTCCAATACTGGGTTGTGGCTGGAAGGGCATTGGCTGCATTAAACATATGCTGGAATAGCTGGGAGTTCATTCCGCTGTGATGAACCCGAATAAATAAGGCACTAAGCCGAAGGAAAATGAAATAAAATGAATGTTTAAGGATTAAGAATGATATTTATCCAGCTGTTGGTTGACTTATATTAGGATTTAAGTAGAATAAAATATATCTTAAGTTTGAATTTTTTTTTTTTGCATGTTTTAAATGTTTGGTTATTATTATTATTATTTTTATTATTGCACTTTTGGATGAGAGAAGTTTAATCTTAAATTGTTAACTTTTGAACTCCCTTAACCTAACTTAACTTTAAAATTATGGTTTGCAATTTTTTAATCCATTCAGTTGATTTCCTGATCAGGCAGGTGCACTCTTAACTTTTCCCAAGAACAATGGATTCAGCTCAAAATATTCTTTAAATGTTTTGCTGTCGGGAAAAAAAGTCACCCGCATCTTGGATGACCTATGCGTCAGTAGCTAAATTATCCAGAAATCTTTATTTTCAGGTGAACTATCCCTTTTAATGTGCTACAACCTATTCAAATCTACATAAAAATCCATGCAGTATTTGGACACACAGCACTAGTCATATTCTACAACTTAACTCAACTTAACTTATAATTAAATAACATCTGCGATTACATCCAGCCAATGAGAGAGCAGCATCCACTAGTATGGGTATCTTCTTTTCTGTCTATTTGAAAAGGAGGAAAAACTAGAGTAAACTTGGTAGGTGCACCCGTGTCTGTTTGACGTGTCATCTGAGCAATATCACAACTGGGTTGAAAAAGAAAAAAAAAAGATCGGGGAAAAAATTGCTGATTCCCTTCAAAACTCAGAAGAGCAAAGTAAGTACATAGATTAAATACTCCACTAAAGGCTTCTTTCTCATTATGTAGTTCATAACAGAAGATATACTATGTGACCTATGTTGTTTCCATGTCACTCCTCGTGTGCGTTTGGTTGTGAGACATAGTTTGCAGACCGCATCAAAGTTGTCAGCAGTTCTTCCTATTTGTACAGTCATGCAGTGTGAAACTGTCTGTCGCCGATCCATCCTACAGTGTAAACACAGAACACTATACCCCAGATAGTCATGCAGTGTAAAACCATCAGTAGCTATGTTTCCATCCACCTATTTTGCAAAATGTGCATAAAAAACCAGTTGATGGAAACGCCATGATGCGCATCAATTTTGAAAATGCGCATAAAAAACTTTTGCGCTTAACTGGGTAGGATAAACGTTTTATTCGATAAGAAAAGATGCGCATAAACTGCGATGGAAACACTTTTACCGCACAAACTCCAGCATGCGCATTAAAAAAGGTCATGTGATTTTGTTGAAAGAGATCATGTGATGCTTATAATGTGTGTGAATGGACAAAACGTCAGGCTGAGCACATTATAAAACATCTGAAATGTTGTTTTGGTCATTATAAAACGCCTTACCATTTCAGTATTAATGCTATTATATTATTAATGACCTCCAGAATTAAGAGTGTCTGTGCTCCGCGTCTGACACATTCAAACGCCACTGCTCGCTCACTGCATATCAGGATTGTCTTCTGAGGCGCATTCATTTAGAAAAGATTGATGCAGCTTCTCCTACTGCAGCAAATGCAGTTTTTACTGTGGATATTTGGTGCCAGTTAATCAGGAAGAGCCAATTTTGTTCGCTTTGACTCGTTGGATGGAAACGATGCTTCATTCGCACAACTTTTATGCGATAATCCAGTTTTGCGCATAAAGTTTATTCGCATTTTTGGATGGAAACATAGCTTGTGATGTGACTACTTTGAAAATCCTGCAGTCTGAACTCGGCTTGACTTAACTTGCTTAGCTTAACTTAACTAGTTAAACATTTGAGGTTTGCCATTTAATGTTCTACAGTTGAGGTCAGAATTATTAGCCCCCCTGTATACTTTTTTTTTAACAAAAAAAGATTTGAATCAACACATTTCTAAACATGGTTTTAATAACTCATTTCTAATAACAGATTTCTTTTATCTTTGCCATGGTCACAGTAAATAATATTTGACTAGATGTTTTTTTTGACACTAATATTCAGCTTAAAGTGACATGTAAAGGCTAAATTAGGTTAATTAGGCAAGTTAGAGAAATTAGGCAAGTCATTAAACAAGTGGTTAGTTCTGTAGACAATCAAAATAAATTGTATTTAATTTAAATAATTAAATTATTATCTTTTTAATTAAAACTGCTTTTATTCTAGCCGAAATAAAATAATTACGACTTTCTCCAGAAGAAAAAAATATTATAGGAAATACTGTGAAAAATTCCATAATCTGTTAAACATCATTTGGGAAATATTTGAAAAAGAAATAAAAAATAATAAATCACAGGAGAGCAAATATTTTTGACGTTAACTGTACAACTTGGATGACCTGTACGTGAGTAGCTAAATTAACATTGTATCTTCCTATTTTGGGGTGAACTTCCCCTTTAATCCAATACAACCTATTCAAATCCACAAGAAAACAAAGATCCTGACCCATGTAGCATTTGGACACGACACAGATGCACAGCTGATTCAGACAAGCAGAGACTCTTACAATCAGAGGTGATTTCGTACGGTGAGTTGACTCTGGCGTCCCCGCAGGGTGAAGTGCTGATGTACATGTGGAAGAGGACGTTCTCTCTCAGTCTCAAGCACGAATCTTTGTGCCGTACGAAGATCGATTGTTCCCAGTCCTCTTTCCTTTTGCTTCAGAGTGATCGTAGACCCCAGGCGGAGCAGAGAGAGAAAGAACAGAGAAAGCAGACATGAGAAACAACCCCCGTCTGAAACACAGTCCTGGCTAATAATGGGCCGAAGACACAAAGGAGACAAATATTGGCCTTGCCGCGGCGAAGGCTAGTTCCGTCACTGTCACATTCCCGCTCGCTAGCTAGACGATCTCAAATCATTACTCTGTCAGAACAAGGCGAGTATAAATGGCCGAGCTGTAATTCTTTAACCCACATGATCTGTAGCTAGTCGGCTGTAGGGAGGACACGCCGGTTTACACTCATCATCATCATTAGCATTAGCGTCTCGCTGTGATATCTTACAAAAGACGTTTCAGAGCAGTGCATGAGGTGAACCTTACATATGCTAACATCAGCATCTCTAATTGGCACCTAAGGTGTGCTAATTATGCAAATGATCTGCAATGCCAAGTGGGCTCACATAAAAGAAAAATCCAAAAGGTCTAATCATTTATAGTAAATACTATAGTGTTTTAAACCATACTATATTCATTCATTTTCTTGTCGGCTTAGTCCCTTTATTAATCCGGGGTCGCCACAGCAGAATGAACCGCCAACTTATCCAGCAAGTTTTTACGCAGCGGATGCCCTTCCAGCTGCAACCCATCGCTGGGCAAAACCACACCATACTATACTAAAGTGTATTTTAAATACTTGGTACTCACATAGTATTACTAGAGCTGCATGACAATAGGAAAATATGCGAGAAAAAATGCTAAAATATGCAAATAAAAATCTAATATGCCTAATAATTTATAATAAATACTATAGTGTTTTTGAACCATACTATAGTACAGTGTATCATAGATACTTAGTATTTAGGTAATATTTATAGAGCTGCCCAATACTAGGAAAATATGCTAAATAAATAAGCAAAAACATGTTAAAAAATCATAAATGCCTAACAATTTTTAGTAAATACTATAGTGTTTTGAACCATACTATAGTAAAGGGTATTATAGCTACTGTATATAGTAATATTTACATGGTATTTATAGAGCTTCACCATACTGGGAAAATATGCAAAATTATGCCAAAAATATGTGAAACAAATCATATATGCCTAATAATTTATTGTAAATACTATAGTGTTTTTATGTCATACTATAGTACAGTTTATTATGGCCACTTAGTATTTAGATAGTATTTATTGAGCTGCACAATACTGGGAAAATATGCTAATTAAATATGCAAAAATCGCAAAAATAAATAAATAAATAAAAATTTAAAAAAGGGGAAAAAGTTTCATTTATTTAATTTTTTTTTATAAAAAACAATTTCTTATAAAAAAATCCTATATGCCCAATAATTAGTAGTAAATACTATAGTGTTTTGAACCATACTACCATACATAAAGTGTATTATTGCTACTATATATAGTAATATTTAAATAGTATTGATAGAGCTGCACTATACTGGGAAAATATGCTAAATTCTGCCAAAAAACATGTTATAGTAAATACAATAGTATTGTCAGGTGAGTTTCGGTTAGTTTTTACACCGAACACATCTCTCAGTTAAATAACGTTCAGGAATAGGTGTTTAAAAAAACCTTAGCCATGTTGCCCTCAAATTAAACAGTTGTCATGGCAACTTGCTATTGTAAACAAAAAGCTTGAAATGCTTGCTCCGCCTCTGGGTTCTTCTGATTGGCCGATCACTTTGGAAATGACATTATTGAATGACGCTGTGAGTAAAAGTTGAGATTCATTGAATTAATATCTTTCATGTTTGTGTTTACTTTAAAATAACTATCAAAAATTAGTGTGTTCTGTGTGAATGACCTCTTACAGTCATTCTGTTTTGTGAAGTTTCGATTATAATAAAATAAAGTTGTAATTGCACGATTTAATGCTGCATTGCTATAGATAAAGTTGTATTGTTATAAGTAGGCCCACAGAATTCCGCAGATTTTCCGCAGAATTCCGCAGATTTTTAGCCCATTATTAATTCCTTTTATTTACTTGAGTAAATGTGTAAATCTGAATTTATTCTGTTTTTATTTGGTAAGTTATTATTATTATTATTATTATTATTATATAGGAAATAACCATCTGTACATGGAGACTCAGAGTTATAATTACCAGAAATAAAGGCGCAATTGATATAAGCTCATTTTTTTTTCTTTAACTGTTTACACCACCAACTTTAATTATAAGCGCATCATTTTAAATGACGTATTTGCAAGTTTTCTCAAGAAAAACCTCAAAATATTCTCTCCTGCTCATCAGCATGTCATTGAGGTTATCGAGGGAACTCGACACAGAGTGAACCCGAAAGAGCTTGATGCTAACAACACATATTCTCACATATCACACCTAACAAAGGACTTCAGGACTACTTTCAGAAGTGCTAATTTCAATTGTTGCTTCATAAAGAATCCGCATTATCATTTGAGTCTGCTGCGGTGTTGGAGGAATCATTGTGCGCCGGCGACGAAGACTCTAAATGTCTTCTCCGATGTAGCAGATTGTTGCATAGAAAGCCTCCTGTAATGTCATATTTGCATACTCGTCTTCCCCGAGTGCATTATCTGTAGCTAAATGGGCCCGTTTGCCTGGGTCTGGAGTCTAGTTTGGAAGATAAGTCATTATGTTGGGCAAAAAAAAAACCACAACGGCCATCAGCACCTTCCTCAATAGACAGATCTGGAGCAGCATGCTTTACCCCCTTAGCATCGCAGGTCATTTGTGTAATCAGCCCAACTTAGGTGCCAATTAGAGATGCTAATGTTTGCATATGTAATGTTCACCCCGTGCACTGCTCTCAAAAGTTTTTGCGAGATGTCACAGACAGGCGCTAATGCTAATGACGTGTAAAATGGGACAGCTCTGCTTTTCTGCATGCTAACATGCTAACACAAACAAACTTAGCCTCACATGAACCTCATTTTATTTATAAAATTGACAATTCTGTCATCAGCTACTCGCGCTTGCTTCAAACCAGTGTCAGTTTTTTTTTAAAATTAAGATATATTGACTATTTGACGTCTTACTATGTGTCTCTGTCTCTTACTCTGTGTGTGTGTGTGTGTGTGTGTGTGTGTGTGTGTGTGTGTTTGTGTTTATTTTACGTTAGATACAAGTGTGTCTTCAAAAGTTAGCTAAATCTGTCAAACCCTCACTTTGGGAGCATCACCGCAAGTTAAAAATGACTCATAAATAAACGAAGTGTTTCCTCTTTATTATTAATTCATGCAGTTGTCTTTTTAATAATTTTGAAGTTTCCTTTTGGGATTTGTCCCAGTCTCTACCAATTATCATTATTATTTTCCTAAAAAGAATAGGAAAGTCTGTTATAAATAAATGTGTTGTTAGCAATTTCAAAAGGCTGCTTATATTTTAGCATGTTAGCTGGTTTGTAACATGTTTTAACACATGAACCGTGTTTTGATTGAGTAGTAAGAGCGTTTTTTGTTCCTAGCTTGTTTAGCAGGTTAGCATGGATGTTACTATCACATTTTAGCACTATGCTTTAGCATGTTTCTATTATGTTTACATATTGGATTGGGATGTTTTGAAATGGGTGTTGTGCTAGCATAAACTGACATGTTTCTAACCAGTTTTAAAACATGTATAAAGGTTTCAACATGTGGCTAGCATGTTTCTTGCAATGCCTACTTTATTAGAATGAGGCAGCATGTTGTTAGCATGTTTAACATGTTACTAGCATGTTACTTGTATGCTTGAACATTTACATATGATGTTGCTACAAATGGCTAGCATGACTTAACAGGTTGGTTTGATTGTTCTGTCTCGTTTACATATTAGCAGGATGAAGTGACATGTTATTAGCATGTTTAAGCCAAATGTTAGCATAAATAACATGTCTTAACACATGGTTATTCTGGAATATTTGACATGTTTCTAGGATGAAGTGGTGCTGTTAATATATTTACCCACTAGGCTAGCATACATCAGCATGTTTCTAAGATGTTTAGAATGTTTACTTGATTAGCACATGGTTTGGATAAAGAAAGATGATACTAGCATGTTTACAACATGTTTAGTACATTGTGAAGAAACATTAACAAGCTGCTTGTATGTTGTAACACTGTTAGCACAAAATGGCTTGCTAATAACATGTTTTAACTCTGCACATGCTGCTACTATGTTTTTAACCTTCGTTAGCTTCTTATAACAATGTGCTAACATAAATTGACATGTTGCTAGTATGTTTCTGGAATATTTGACATGCTGCTAGGATGAAGTGGTACGATGTTAATATGTTTAACCACTATGCTATGATGTTTAGAACTTTTCAACACAGGGCTAACTTGATTAGCACATGTTTTGCAATAATGATACTAGCATGTACAACATGTTTAGTACATTGTGAAGATAAATTAAGTATGTTGTAATAAAGTTAGCACAAAATAGCATGCTAATAACATGTTTTAACTCTGTACACATTGCTACTAAGTATTTAACCTTTGCTAGCTTTATATAACATTGTGCTAATATGAATTAGCATGTTGCTTGTGTGTTTCTGTAATACTTGACATGTTACTAGGATGAAGTGGTATGTTTTTAACATGTTTTTCCACTAGGCTAGCATACATTAGCATGTTTCTAAATTGTTTAGAATGTTTACTTGATTAGCACATGGTTTGCATAAAGAAACATGATACTTGCATGTTTACAACATGTTTAGTACATTGTGAAGAGACATTAACAAGCTGCTTGTAATCTGTAACACTGTTAGCACAAAATGGCTTGCTAATAACACGTTTAAACTCTGTACATGTTGCTAATATGTATTTAGTCTTTGCTAGCATCTTATAACATAGTGGTAACATGTTGCTAGTGTGTTTCTAGCAAGCTTGTTGCATATTTTAAAACTGTTATTATAGGACAGGGGTCACCAATCTCGTTCCTGGAGGTCCGGTGCCCTGAAGGGTTTAGCTCCAACGTGCCTCAACACACCTGCCTGGGTGTTTCAAGTACACCTAGTAAGACCTTGATTAGCTTAGTTCAGGTGTGTTTGATTAGCGTTGGAGCTAAAATCTGTAAGACACGGGACCTCCAGGAACAAGTTTGGTGATCCTTAATATAGGGTAACAATATAATTTATATTTTTGTTAGCATTTATCTAATCCGATTTGACTTTAAATACGTTGTTTCCAGTGTGTTTAACGCATGGCTGGCATAAATAGACATCGGTGTTTCTGTGAAAGATGTGTTTTACCTGAGGTGTAGCTCTAGTTGTGAATAGAGGAAGCGCAGCAGTGCTCGTCTAGTGGTGATTTCTGCATGGCAATCATTGACCACCAGCCCCTGGTCACTGATGTACTCTCCATTAATGCATTTGGTACCGGAGGAGAGCGCCACCACTTGAGCATGTCTCAGATCCAGGCCTGATCAAAACACACAAACACAGGAAGTCAACACACAGCAACATAATAACAGTGGAATTGAGTTTAGTGGCATCCCTTTAGTAGGTCAGTTGGCATTTCTGAGTGGAGTCTGCATGTTCTCCCCGTGTTGGTGTGGGTTTCCTTTGGGTGCTCCGGTTTCTCCCAGTCCAAAGACATGTGCTAATAAATAAACTAAATTGGCCATCGTGTATAAGTGTGTGTGTGAATGTGAGTGTGTATGGGTGTTTCTCAGTGCTGGGTTGCGGCTGAAAGGGCATCCGCTGCATAAAACATAAGCTGGAATAGTTGGCGGGTCATTCCGCTGTGGCGACCCCTTATAAATCAGTCGAAGAAAAATGAATGTATGTTCATCTGAAAGCTCATATCCCTACATCTTAAATATTGTTTGCATTGTTGTGTGACACATAGGCAGGATTATTAAATGACCTAAGATCACCCGATAGTAGCATGTGGCCATTTTAAAATGAAGCAGCATACTGTACACATGTTTTATAAAGACGGCTACAACTATAAATTGTGCTGTGGTCCACAGTAAAAGCGCTTCTTGCTGATGTTCTCCACACAAGGATGAGTAACTGGTCATCAGTGCACAAAGCTTTTCTGTGACATTTTCATCAGCCACAGCAAGACCAAACCCACAAGCCCGGCACAAAGCGTCTCCAGCTGCCAGCATGCCCGTCCCACAGCTGCTGGGTCTCGATATGGACAGACAGGGTTTCTGCACCGAGAGCAGCTCAAGCGTGTGAGCCGATGTCTCAGCATGCTTAGCCATAAAGCTCTGGGTGCTGGAAAAGAATATATATCTCCCCATCGCTTCAAAAATTTAGTGTTCACCGCCTCGTGTAGACCTGCAGGCTAGAGGCAACATATGAGCTTTTATCAGTCGGGACCCAGACGGAATTGCACGGCGTGGCCCGGCCGCCACCAGCGCGGCTGCCTGGCAATAACAATAATAAAAACTAATATTGAGGTGGGGTTAAAGGCATAGCCTTTGAAATCCATTCTTCCACCTTTCACTGCCTGCTGAACCGAGAGGGAGCGAGCGTGTGTGTGTAAGAGAGAGAGAGAGTAACACACCATCAACTAAACGAATCACTGTACAGTTGTGTATTTAATATGTATCATTATTTATAATTTTATTATTATTAATATATTTATTAGTATTAAAATATATTTATTTCTTTCCCAGAGAGGGGTTGCAGCTGGAAGGGCATCTGCTGTGTAAAAACGTGCTGGATAAGTTGGTGGTTTATTTCGCTGTAGCGACCCCGGAATAATAAAGTCGAAAAGAAAATGAATGAATGAATATATTTATTTCATATTTTTTCTTTGCATTATCTTCTTACTAATCGTATTAGACTTTTTTATTTGTGTACACAGTAAAAATGATTGACTTAAAAAAATTAGTAAACCCATTGCTTTATTTTTTTTAGTTAATGAGGTGAGAATTATTTGCCGTCCTGTTCAATTTTATTTATTTAATATTTTTTTCCCTATTTTCTGTTTAAAGTAAAGGTTTATGGGGGAAATCACACAGCTTCTGTCCTTTTTATGATAATGATTACCATTTTTGAGAATGATTTGAGGTATATATACAGTTGAAGTCAGAATTATTAGCCCCCTTGAATTATTAATTGCTTGTTTATTTTTTCCTCAATTTGTGTTTAACAGATAGCATATTTTTTTCAACACATTTCTAATCAAAATAGTTTTAATAACTCATTTCTAATAACTGATTTATTTTATCTTTGCCATGATGACAGTAAATAATATTTGACTAGATATTTTTCAAGACACTTCTATACAGCTTAAAGTGACATTTAAAAGCTTAACTGGGTTAATTAGGTTAACTAGGCAGGTTAGGGTAATTAGGCAAGTTATTTTATAACAATGGTTTGTTCTGTAGACTATCGAGAAAAAAAAGCTTAAGGGGGCTATTAATTTTGTCCCTAAAATGGTGTTTAAAAAATTAAAAACTGCTTTTATTCTATCTGAAATAAAACAAATCAGACTTTCTCCAGAAGAAAAAATATTAGCAGACATTCTGTGAAAATTTCCTTGCTCTGTTAAACATCATTTGGGAAATATTTAAAAAAGAAGAAAACAATTCAAAGGGGGCTAATAATTCTGACTTCAACTGTATATATATTTATTCATTCATTCATTTTCTGCCGATTTTCCGGGGCCGGGTAGCGGGGGCAGCAGTCTTAGGAGAGAACCCCCAGACGAGGGCGATTGAGAGCTTTGCCTTTTAGCTCAGCTCCTTCTTCCCAGGGCCATTTTATATCGAAGGTGATGCCACACCATATTGGTGTTTTGTAACACCTACTTTTTATGAGGTGGGTTATTAGCCAAATGCAATTGCACTGTGGTCAATTTAGCTTACCCAATTCACCTTTAGTGCATGTGTTTGGACTGTAAGGCAACCCTGACCACCTGGAGGAAACCAACGAGACCAAATGACCCATCCAGGGCTTGAACCAGCGACCTTCTTCTATGGAGGCGGCAGCGCTACCCACTGTGCCACTGTGTCGAGATATATATACAGTCAGACTTAGTAGCCCTCCTTTGATTTTTCTTTTTTAAATATTTCCCAAATGATGTTTAACAGAGCAAGGAAATTTTCACAGTGTGTCTGATGATATTTTTTCTTCTGGAGAAAGTCTGATTTGTTTTATTTCGACTAGAATAAAAGCAGCTTTTAATTTTTTTAAAAACAATTTTAAAGTCAAAGTTATTAACCCCTTTAAGCTATTTTTTTATTGTCTACAAAACAAACCATCATTAATGACTTGCTTAATTACCCTAACCTGCCTAGTTAACCTAATTAACCTAGTTAAGCCTTTGAATGTCACTTTAAGCTGTATAGAAGTGTCTTCAAAAATATGTAGTCAAATATTATTTATTGTCGTCATGACAAAGATAAAATAAATCAGTTATTAGAAATGAGTTATTAAAACTATTATGTTTAGAAATGTGTGTGTTTTAGCGTGCTCATCTGGATCTTCTCTTGGCTGTTCTTCACTCAGCGGGGGTCACTGAAGGCTACAGAGAGCTGCAGTCATGCTCACATCCAGGGTGTTTGCCTTTGTGCCCACCTCACTGGCACAATGTGCTTTCTCTGAGATGTTGATGATTATTGCTCTTCTAAAAGCCGCGTTGCCCACAGGCCGCACACCCCCACATACCGAGAGAAGAGCCTTTACAACAATTTCATGCCGCTTCAGAGAGAAATGACTACACGCTCGCGTCTCTGTCTCTCTGCCATCGCCAGATTGATCTAAACTATCATTAAATGGAACAGCATGGAGAGAGCGGGGCTGGTTGCGGCCTTTTAACTTGCCTTTTTTGTTTTTTGGGGAAGAAAGTGTTTTTGCTGTTGGCGATTGTTGAATAAAGATGCCTGAACACACAAACCGGGCATTCTGGGACCCTGCTGGGCTCCGGAGCAGTGCATGCTGGGATGGATGCAGGTTTGGCAGGTGGAAATTGGGCAGAACCGGCTGGCATTTGTCTTTAGAGGAAAGTTTGGGACATTCAAGCAGTATTTGATTGATGGAAAAGTGGAGTTGGTATAGAAGTGTGCAAAAAGAAGGACATAACTCGTTTTTTGAGTTTGAGCTGTACTGTAAATAATAATTTTAATGAACAGTTTCCATATTAGGTGACAAGTGTGATCCCATGACATTCTATAGGCATGACATTCTGTACAGCAGAAAAAATTTGGGGCCCTACTATGCTCTGATTGCAAACCGACCCACACTGATTTTAATGCTTATTAAATACAATGAATGGAGCAAAAAAAAAAAAAAAAAAAAGTAAAGCATAAGGATTACAGGATACATAAATAAAAAAAATAAATAAAAAATAAATAAATAAATAAGTCACAGCTTTTAGTGAATATGTGTGCACAAAAATAAAGTGTTATTAATAAATTAAATTTAATTAAAATAAAATAAATAAATAGATGACTAAATAAATAAATAAAAAAGGTCACAGTTATAGTAAATATGTGTGAACAATAATAGTTATTAATAAAATAAATTCAATAAAATTAAAATAAATAAATTATAAAATAAAGTCCAAATAAATAAATAAAATAAAGAGACAAAAAAGTGACTAAATAAATAAATTAATAAATAAATAAATATAAAAGGTCACACTTAATAGTGAATATGTGTGCACAATAATAGTGTTACAAATAAAATAAAATAAAATAAAAATTAATAAAATACAATAATAAAACCTAAATAAATAAAAATAGATAAATAGATGAGTAAATAAACAAACAAACAAAAATAAATGAATAAATAAATAAATAAAGGTCACAGCTAATAGTGAATATGTGTGCACAATAACTAAGTGTTATTTATAAAATAAATAAAATAATAAAATCTAAATAAATAAAAAAATAGATAAATAGATGAGTAAATAAACAAACTAACAAAAATAAATACATAAAGGTTACAACTACTAGTGAATATGTGTGCACAATAATAAAGTGTTATTTATAAAATAACATTAAATTAAATTAAAATAAATTAAATTAAAAACCTAAATAAATAATTAAATACATAAATAGATGGATATATAAATAAATAAAAAAAGGGCCACATTTAATGGTAATAAAATAACATTATAATGAAATAAATTCAAAAATAAAACCTAAAAAAAATAGATAGATGGATAGATGGATAGATAGATAGATAGATAGATAGATAGATAGATAGATAGATAGATAGATAGATAGATAGATAGATAGATAGATAGATAGATAGATAGGTAGATTTTTTCTTTTGATTATTATTAAATGTTTAATTTTACTTTTACTTAAATTTCATAAATTATATTTTCTTTAACAAAGGAACTCAAAAATACTCTAATAAAAAACACTTTTTATGCAAATCAATAAAATTTGTCTCAGAGTCTGAGTGTTTTGCAGATGAACTCTTCTTATACAGCAAATATGCCATTTATATACTGTAACACATCAATTCATATGTAATTCATGATATAAATGAATACAGAAATAACCTCAACAAACAGCCAACATAAAACTGAAAATTCCACAATACAAAATCAGCAAAAAGATCCTTAAAAATAACACAACAGATATGAATAGTCCTCAAAGAGAAGTGTAATGACATACAGTGCGGTCTTTTGTATGTGATCATAAGCGAGACACTATTAATCAGCAGTCGGGTCAGTCTAGTGCAGGTCTGTCAGGGGAAGCCCATATGCTGATATGAGCTTAATAAGCATCATTACCCCCACATTTCCTAAATGAGTTTTGTTTCGCAAAAACAAGGAAAGAATGCAGTTCATCAGCTCCTTTATGAGGCCATCAAATCATAAGGAAATCATTAGATGGGCTTTTATGCGTCTCTGCTTTGGGGAGGTCTAGGAAAGACCCTACTGGATTGGCTGGAAAGGACACGGTGTCTTTTGTTGGGGGGAGGAAAAAAATGGGATTATTTCTGAAAATTGATGAATTTGCATTAAACACATTTTCCTCAGGGTGTAAAGCAAATGGCCGAGGTCGTCGTCTAACCAAGTCAATTTACATGCCATTAGGAATAAAGAGGCTCGCCGATTGATCCTTTACAAGTTGCTCTTGCATGCTAAAACGTTTGAATATTAAATGAGGTCAAAATGGAGCACACCATCAGCGTTTAACAATTTCTTTCCATGATCGTTCCCACCGATTGAAAGTCTTTGTGTGAAGTCGGCTTATTTGTTTTAAAATGATATCAAATATGCAGCAAATATTAAAAAGAGGACTTGTAATGCACGCTGAGAAATAAAGGTAAACCGGCTGGGGTGTTACATGTTGGTACCTTTTCTGTGTACAGAACAAACCACTGTTATACAATGACTTGCCAAATGAACCTAACTTGCCTACTTACCCTAATTTGCCTATTTTCACGAATTAACCCAACCCAGAGTTATTCTGAATATCTACCACTATATACATTTCTGGAGAGCACCAAATACATCCCAGGAGCTACGTCTTTTTGCAGTTTTGTTTTGAATTTACTTGAGGCCGCTGTGTACGCTTAAAGATCTCAAGTTTCTCTCGTGAGTGCCGTTCATGCCTGCTGTTCTAACGTAAATCCACCAGAGGCCGCTGTCGACTGACTGACCAATCGACTGACTGACCAATCGACTGACCCATTCTCTTTTCCTAAGCCCAACCAATAGTGTTTACAAAAGCACAGATAGACCAGAGCCCACCTACTTCCCTAAACCCAATCGACAGTGCTTTCAAAAGCACTCCAGAAAAAGAAAAGCCCCCAGATTTTTACCATGTTTTCACATTTTACCAGATTCTCACCCTGTTATTTACTTATTTATTGGCTTCTGTTTTTGTCTTAGCCACTTTCTGGAACCGTTCTTTGCTGGACCTGAAACTACTTATTTAAAACGAGCTGATACAACATAATTCTTGAGATTATTTTGGGGACAACTTAATTATGTTTAATCCAATTAATTTGTAAAAACAATGTACGTCAGAGGATTTAAGATGCAGCGCGGAGTTGACCGTGATGATGGGGTTCGACTGCAGCTAAAAACAAATCCAGAAACCAGGTAAAACAAAAACAAAAGCCAAAAAATAAGCAAATAACCGGGTGAGAATGTGGTAAAAACTGAAAATGTGGAGAAAATCTGACTACTATGAGGGCTCTTTTTCTGGATTACTTTTTAAAACTGTCAGTTGGGTAAGGGAAGTGGATGGGCAGGTCAATTGGTGCTTTTGAAAACACTATCGACTGGGTTCAGGGAAGGAGGAGAATGGGTCAGTCTATCGGTCAGTCAGTTGGTTGACAGCGCCCTCTGGTGGATTTACAAGAGAACAACAAGCGCGAATGGCACTTGCAGAAATTTGACATCTCAAAAAGCGTAAACAGCAGCCTCTGGTCAATTCGCAAAAACAAAAACTGCAAAAAACGTACCTCCTGGTACATATTTGACACTCTTCAGAAATGTATATAGAGGTACATAATCAGAATCAGCCTGGGTTGCAATGTTGTCACAAAACTCAAATAACTTCAAATTCAGAAGTAAACTTTTCAGGATGACTTTCTTTCCCATCAAAGAAAAATCGGTCCGATTGCTGTAAACACAATCATCAGCTCTCCAAATGTGGAAACAAACACGTTTACCAGCCCTTCAAATGTTCAAACCCCAGTTTTTTTCCAGCACCCTGGTTGAAATGCGATTATTCACGTCGTCTGATTCAAGCGGTGTCTGTTTCTTTAACGTTAGCCGATGAAATAATCCAATAAGAGTCCTGCGTGGAGCACTTTCGCTCAGGTTACGACTCCCTCTGCGAAAGTCCTGCCGTTCAAAGTCCGACCCGCATTAATATTCCAGCGGTGCCCGTGCCAGTCTAAAAGATTCAATAGGGGCTCAAAGAGCAGCGAACAGAACCCCCAGTGTTTCTGTCAAGTTCTGCGTGTCTGCTCGCCTGCCACAGATTCTTGGGCACCGATGTCTGGATCTTTGAAGATAACAGTCTTAATAAACATGCTCCGCAATTACTGTGAGGCAGACGGAGAGAAAGAGAGAGAGACGGAGCAGCGAGGACAGGGATTAGGTCAGATCTCACTGAAGTCTAAATTGATGAGCTGTGGTCTTCAAAAGAAAAACTTGATACTGATCCTGCAATGACTCCTGAAAGCCTGCAGCGGCGGCGGAGTTTATACACAAACACACTGAAGCGCCACATCGGCCTGTCTCGGCTCCACTACTGCACAATTTGACAGTTAAATACTGTATATTTTAGCAACAATGAACAGTTAAATAGCTATATGGGATACGGAGAGCGTGCTTGTGTTTGGGGTTAGTGATATAAAGGAAACCCCCTATACATTTAGATTAAATTAACAAACGTTTTGTTTATTTTTATATACTGGGTAAACTTTTTTGATCCACTTCAAATGCTGACTATTATACACACACACACACACATATTTATAAACACACATTTTTATTTTGTATGTTTGCGCAAGTGTTATTTAAACATTTATACTAGCCTGATGTCTTGAGGAAACGTAACTGTACATAATTTTACGTTGTGTCAGTTTAGTGGCTAATTCATATGAGTTCAGTTGTACGAAAATGTACAGTTTTAATATGAAGGCGTGGCACCAAACCCCGCCCCTAAACCCAACCATCAATGGGGGATATGCAAATCGTACTAAATGGTATGAATAAGATTGTACGAACTAATACGAATTAGCAACTAAATCAAAAAGTTACGAATCATACGAGATGTGTTTATATTGATGTGCAAGTTTATATTGATACACGTGGGTTTATAGATGCATATAAGTTTATAGGTATATGCAAGCATATATGTTTTTATATGCAATGAGTTTATATGTATGTGCGTGTGTTAATGTGTGTGTTTATGCAAGGATCGAGTTTACGTCTATATAAACAAGTTTCATGTATGGGTGCTTTCACATCTGTAGTTCACTACATTTGGTTCGGACTAAGGGCAATGACACATTGTAGCATTTTTTTTCACACCACACTGATTGCTTAGGTCATCTGACAAAATCCACATCACTTATTGGCCAGATGTTATTGAACGTATTTCCTAAACTGCTTTTTGATTGGTCAGAAGTTATGTGCGCAAAAATGGCAATGAAACTCTTGCAATTAAACAAACCGGCAGATACAAAATGACGCTTTTTACTAAGGAGGGACGACTGCACTGACGGATTGTATCACTGCTTATAGTAAACTATATAAAAGCCAGGAGCTCTGCTTCACAGTGGTGTAGTTGCAAGCGTGAAAGTTTGAAATGCAGTTTGCGAATGTTCATTGGAATGGTGGATTTGGGAAACACCAAATCAACGAACTATGTTTTGTAACAATGGAACTTGTCACCTTAGTTAGCAAACAATGGTTTGTGATAACGCCTCCCAGATTTGTTACCTTATTTCTTTCCTCACCTGTGGAAAGAACTTTTCATAAATAAGAAAAAACTACTCCCTTGCCAGTAAATCATTTTAGTCCATCTTTTGACTGCTCTTTGAATCCATTCTAATATATATGTGCATCTTTGTCCCTTTCTTTTTCACAGGTGATAAAACACTAAATATTTCATCCAAAGCTCTACATTCAGAGGACACACACACACTTTCAGAAGCTTATTGAACTTCTTCAATAATTCAGCGGCCGGTGGAGATGTGTTTTTTTTTCCGTACCTCTGGTCATGACGATGCCCGCCAGGCCTTTGTGTCGCGCGTGCAGCAGTGAAGAGCAGCCCGCCAGCTCGCTGTACTTCTCTCGCACCAGCTGGAAGATCCCGTCCGCAAACTCCTGCAACACACAACAGGCTCCAGGTCAGTCTGATGCCTTATTAAAACTAAAAGTTCACATGGAATATTGAGGTTCACGTGCTAAACGGTTGTGCCATATCATCCATTTACATCTTTCAAAATGTCTGCCTCAGTGTTTAACAGAGGAAAGGAACACATTTTTATTAAACAAGCAAATAGTGAGAAACGTATTAAAAAAAAAAAAAATCAAGATATAAACAAAACATTAAAGGGCATCTATTTTACCCCTTTTACAAGATGTAAGATAAGCCTTTGGTGTCTCTAGATTGTGTCTGCAAAGTTTCAGCTCGAAATACCCATCAGGTTATTTATTATAGTCTCCAGATCTGCCCATTTTGCTGTCTTGAGTACAGTGTAGCTGTTTTTGTAGCCTGTCGCTTTAAATCCAAATGAGCTTCTCCCCACCCAACATTCCAGCGTGCGTGTCTGCTTATCAAGTGTTACGTCAGATAAACAGCAGTCAGTGATAGAGAGACATGGATGAAGCCGAAATTCAGCTCATAGTCAAAAATACCAAGTAAGTTTATTTGATGTATTTGTGGTGGAGTTTATTCAAGCCTTTCTGAAATGATGAGTCTCACACACACATTAGAGTTTACTATCACCATGCAGCCGTGGTGATTATAGCGGTTAAGAATTATATGGCAATTTTACTTTCTTTATTACAAACATGCTCTGTTTTAAAAATGTTTAAACTTATAAAAATGATCAAAAAATCACTAAGAGTTGGAACAGATAGTTTAATCCCAGTTCATTTGCAAAAAAAATGTTCTGTGGACATGTGATGTATTATGGAGACATGGCACCTGTCTATCAATTTTAAGGGCGTGGAAAACTGCATTCCTACGTCATGTTGTGGTGGGTCATAAAATCACTGGGATTTGGATTCGATTTTAATCTCAGGAAAGTTATAAAAAAAAGAGACTTGTTGGGTTTAAATCACCCCAATATAACTGTGGACCAGTGGTGTAAAGTAACAAATTACAAACACTCAAATTACTGTAATTGAGTAGTTTTTCTTAGAAATAGTAATTTACTGAGTAGTTTTATAAATTTTTACTTTCTTGTGAGTACATTTTACTGCAGTATCAGTACTTTTACTCCACTACTTTCCTTCAACCTGCAGTCACTACTTTATTTATTTCTTGTCTATGTGTATTAGAAAAGTCTATTCTGTGATGCTGCCCAATCAAATCGCACAGAGAAGGTAAATCACATCATAATGAACTACCTAAAGCCATGGCGGACATGGCAGACCCAGAGACTGTTTAGATGCAGGTCACTGATGAGAAGATGACGGATGTATACTGTATGGTGACCGAAATGGCCTTAAACACCCAGCAGGCACAAGACGTCAACATGATGTCAGATTGACGTTGTACCACAACGTTGTGGGGACGTTGTGTTTTGTTTGGAAATAAAAATCGCTTTGACGTCAAAACTCTACATCAGGCCGACGTCATTGTACAACATCCAACCTACAATCAACCAAATATCAACGTCTAATGATGTTACAGCTTGATGTTGTGTGGACATTATCACTATGACGTCTATAAGAAGTTGGATTTTGGTTGCCATACCTGACGAATAAATGTCAGTATTTAACATCAATATGATGTTGGTTTCAGATGTTGGATCAATGTTAGATTTTGGTCAATTTCCCACACAATCTAAAATCAACCAAATATTAACGTCTTTTAATGTTGTTATTGGTGATCAAAATAACTTTGTCCTTAGACATTGGCTAAACAGAAGTTTTTTTCAGTGCATCTTAAACAAAAAAATTTTGCTTACAATCTTATTTTATTCCATTCAATACAAGTCCTTGCGAAATAATCTCTTATCGGCATCTAATCGTATAACAATTAAACCTATATTAAGCCAACAATCATTGCTAAAGGGGGTCTATTGTGTGGCAACAACCACAGACAGCCCTAAGTGACAAGCAGCCGTCCGCTATTAGAGTTTCTGTACCATACCGCTAAAGATAATGTCAGCGACGAAGAGGTATTATAAATGTGGTTTTATGATGCACTTTTGAGACACTTCTTTTGACGTCTTCAGTTTATCACAGAGGTAAATCTACCTCTATGTGAACACATTTGTAGCTCAAAAAAAAAAACACAAAAAAACTGTGGTCTACTCTGAGCTGAAATTTCACATACACACTCTAAGGAAACTTATTTTACATATTATACAAAGAGGCATAATAGGTCATCTTTAACACGGTTGGACTATCTAATAAATTCCATGCGCATTAAAAAAAAAAAGAAGTTCACAAAAGGTTTTTCTTTAAAAATATTAATCATTTAATGGATTGACGTTGGTAAGATGTTGGATCAACGTTGGATTTTGGTTGCTTTCCAACACAACCTAAAATCGACCAAATATCAACGTCATTTGATTTGTTTTTGGTGATTAGATTTTCAAAGCGTAATACCAGCCTGATCTCACGAGGAAACGCAAGTATTTTACATTTTGTCAGTTTAGTGACTAATTCATACGAGTTCAGTTATGAGTTCAGTACGATTTTAAAAAGGAGGCGTGGCACCCAACCCCACCCCTAACCCCAACCGTCATTGGGTGATGAGTCGTAGAAAATTGTACGAATTAGGATAATACGAATTCATACGAATAAGCCACTAAATCAAAAAGTTACGAACTGCAGTGAGATTGCGTTGATAATGCTCACTATTCATGAGTACTTTTAAAAGGGCTACTTTTTACTCATACTTTGAGTAATATTTGCAACAGTTACCTTTTCTTTACTTGTTCTACATTTCTACAAGTTATGGTACTTTTAATTAAGTAGGATTTTTCAGTACTCTTTCCATCACTGTTGTGGACATACTAAACCTACATACAGTTCTGTCCAAACAGCTTACAAAAGATGATTTTCATCATAGGTGCCCTTTAAATCCAAAGCTGAATGTGTAACTCTACAATGTAATAGCATCTGTTTCTAAATGAAAACACTTTCTAGTGTTTTTCCCCCCACTGTATTGCATAATAGAGATTTTTAACAGGCCATAAATCATATACATCACGCATACATAATTTAAAATCAATTAAATCCAGAGCATAGCTTTGCTACTCCAATCACACATTGACTTTGCCCGTGGCACTTTTTTTCCCTCTCTCTCCTCACACCAACATGGTGACCCAATTAATTTGTGTCAAAACATGGGCCATCAATAGAGTAATTGGAAAGAGAAGAGACCACGGGGCGAGCTCATGGTCAGCCGTTTATCTGAGACACTTTTGCTAATGGAACAGCATGATTAGTTTGGTGGCGTCTCAAATGGACCATCTGTCCATCGCTCTGAGCTCAGGGTTGAGGCCGCCAGCCTGAAAAATAACCTGGACGCTACGTTCGCATTCGCCAGACGGGCCGTCCTGCCTTGTACAGCTGTTCCTGGACCAGCGCAAGAGGATTTATTTAAAACTACAGCCACAACTGATGCTGTTTGTGGCAATTATGGAGGCAAACACATATTCTACAGTACACACACACACACGCAGACAGTGCCAGATGATAATTATGACTTCTAAGCGGTCGATTGGTGAAATACAAGAGTTTTGAGGGCAAAAACAGACGAATCTCTTCATCGAGGATGTTCAGTGTGTAGAGCTGATTGGAGGACAGTCATAACAAAATGTGCATTTGCCTGAATGGCATTTAGCATAGAAACACTGATGCTATTTGTTCCTACATTGCACACAGTTACTATATTTGTATCAGAACAGACACTAAATCGAATGAATGCAGGGCAAAGTGTGCTTCAATGCAAAAACCCATTTACACTGTAAAAAAATAAAGGATTCCACACAATCCACTTGATGACATGAAAGAGTTGTTAACTTTTTACAAATTTGAGTGGATTGAACATCAAACAATTAAGTTGAGAACTTGTTATAACTTCTGCTGCAGGTCAAGTTTACATACAATAAGATTATTCTGCCACTGAAAAAGCTCAGATGATGCTGTCAAGGTTTTGGAAGTTTCTGATTGGCTAATTCACAACATTTGAGTTAATAGGAGGCACAAATGTAGAATAGTATTGAAGGAAAGTCTCAAACACACTGCTTCCTTGTGTGACAACATGGGAAAATCAACAAGCCAGAATCATCAAAAAAAAAAAAAAAAACTAAGATTGAACTGTTTGGCCATAATGACCAGTGTTACATTTGGAAGACAAAGGGGAACGCTTACAAGCCTAGGAACACCATCCCGACTGTGAAGTATGGGGGTGGCAGCATCATGTTGTGGGGCTGTTTTGCTGCAGGAGGGACTGGTCCACTTCATAATTATGTAAAAATACTGAAGCAACATCTCAAGACATCAGCCAGGAAATTAAAACTTGGCCACAAATGGTTCTTCTAAACAGACCATGACCTTAAGCATACTGCCAAATTAGTTAAGATGTGCTTTAAGGACAACAGAGTGAATGTTTTGGAGTGGCCATCACAAAGCCCTGACCTCAATCCTATAGAAAAAATTGTGGGCAGAGTTGAAAAAGCTTGTGCAAGCAAGGCAGCCTACAAATCTGACTCAGTTACACCAATTCTGGCAGGAGAAATAAGCCAAAATTCCTGCAAACTATTGTGAGAAGCTTGTAAAAGGAGACCCAAAACATTTGACCAAAGTTATACAGTTTGAAAGCAAACTCACTGACACACAGCAGAAGCTCCTATTTCTCTGCGATTGAGAGAATGAAAGCAAACTTTATTTCTCTCTCTCTCTCTCTCTCTCTCTCTCTCTCTCTCTCCCTCTCACTCACTCACTCACTGTGGCCCATTTGACCTGCTGGTGTGACTTTTGTTCTCATCTCAGCTGTCACAGCAATACTTCTGGATAGAGGAGTCGCGGGACCCGACCAGATTTCTTGCGGCACGGGAATACATTTCTGAATAAAGCACTGAAGCTGTCGGTAACTCGCTCGAGAGCGTAATGCTGTGTGTCACTGTCGCTTGCTTAGT